CCCCAAAACCCCAAAACCCCAAAACCCCAAAACCCCTAATTCCTGTGGAAATATTGAAATATTAAAACCATGGCTTTCGGAGATATTATAGGCAGTCTGGTATTTGACCCTCAAGAAGATGATACGCGACTCTCGGATAATGATAGCTCTGGTGGTGACTCTTCTGATGAGGAGGAGAATAATAGGGGACTTATGGGCAGTTTCTTTGGATTTATTGGTCTTGGTAAGAAACGTCATCGGAAAAAGTTGAACGAGCATAAAAAGAATAATAATAATGTGTATGACTATAAACCCGAATATTCAAGAGAAAGCTCCCAAAATTCCACTCTGAAGAATTTTCAAATCGTTAGGATTAAAACTCTAAAACATAACGGTATGGAAGTTGAGAAAACAAAGCAAATAAAGACTTTTGAAGTTAACTCTGAGCCGGTTATTTGTCCTTCAAAGCAGCCTCCTCAGGAGTATGACCTAGATTCCAGTATAAATGAATCTGAAATTTCCTCAGAAGAGTTACATCAGAATAATTGTATAAAATTAAAACTGAAAGCCCCTGCTAAGGAGTATCCAGTCTCCAAAGGTCTCAAGCCAAGTAGTCAGAACGTCCTTATGTCCAAATTATTCACTAAGACACTTGAGAACGTCTTTTCCAAGAAGATCTCAGCATATAGGAGCCATTTTCTTAGCCAACTAAAACTAGAACAAGCTAGCCGTAATAATAGTAATAAAAGTGAAAGAACTGAGTCATTATCAAACACTTTAAGGAGCTCCTTCAAATCTCCAACAAAAAGGAGAACGATCAATTCTGGGAGGCAGTCTCTTGAACGAACCATAGGAGTCTCCACTAGAGCTTCAACTATATTTGGGAAGAAAGAGCTTCATATGATTTATCAGAATAATTCATTAGAATCCCTTGCTGAGGGAGAAAGCTTCTGCAACGATTATTCTCAGAAGAAATTATCACATCAAAGCTTGGATATCAAGGAAGGTTTGGAGAAGTTACAGAATTTAATGAGGAAGAACGACAAGCTAAAGATTCAGGCATTTTATAAACTCATGAGTTACCAATCGGAAACCCCAAGTGAGCTTTTGACAATAAATATGGATGACATGGAGCCTCTAAGAGCTAGGGAGAAAATGAAGATCCTTCCTCAGGATCCTTTGACAGTTAAAAAGTGATATCGGGGTAGAAAAGCCAAGAAATCTTATGCCCTAAAGATGAAGGAGGTAGATTACCACACCCAGCTAAGGCAAGCAATTAATGGGAGAAAACAAGATAGTGCTTTAAAATCTGAAATTTCAAAAGAAGACACAGAATTAGAGGTAAAATCTGAATCGGACTATGCTATTCATACGCTCAAATGATCTACCAAAAGTGAAATTGGTAATTTTCAAGAAGAAGAGGAGATCTATCTTGTCTCTGACTATGAAGAATCAATTGACTTAGATAAGCAGGAGTCTCTTCCTTTCGACTTCAATGAAACACAGCCTAACATGCTCCAGAGCATAGAACTCTCCTCTGTAGGAGACTTCCAAGAGAAATGTAACAGCTCAGCAAGAAGTAGTATATTATCTGAAGATTTTGAAAAGGATGATATACTTTGTAAGAAAATATCTATGAACAAGAGGGATATCTTCCGTATGACCAAACAAGTCGAAAAAATTCGGAAGATGTTTTCTTAACTCTCTTAGACTACCCTCTAGTTTTCATACCAAAGGTGACATCATAACCTCACTTAATCCCTAAGTTTAAAATTTCAACTTAAATCTTGCCTAAAGGGGTTTTGGGGTTTTGGGGTTTTGGGGTTTTGGTG